CCCAGAGAGACAAGAGGGGAATTTCCTCTATCTATAGGACAGCAGACAGAAGGGGATGTGACTAAAGCTCTACTATTACCGGCAATGTTGGAGCTTCCTAACATGCTCTGTATAAATCGTGACTGTATTAGAGGGCAAATCCTTCAACTTCTAAATCCAGCACAGCTATAAAGACACAAAAAACTTTCTGCTATAAAGTTTAAATTTAACACCTCATTCAAGTTACATAAATTAGAGTAGCAATAGATTTGAGTCCAGTTAAGTCAGTGGAATGACTTAACTTGTTACTTTTCATTAAATGAGAATATAGATAAAAATATATCTCCAGTAAGGGAAAAATCTCATCTGGGAAATGTGTACCACAGTCTACTGGTTTACCTCATTCACTTCCTGCTAGTCTTGCTAGTTAATATGAAATCAACAGTGAAATAAAAACATGTCAAATAAAGGATCAATGCACACTTTTAACAAAAATCTAAGTTTCCTCTGAACTCATAACTTACCTAAGCTTGACTATAACTGAAAAACGATTTCACTGCATGTTAAATAGAGAGTAAGCAACATTTAAATCAGTTGCGGTTTGATTGATTTTTGGATGAAAATGGGTTATCATAAATGACCATTAGCGCCGTTATAGTCTCTATGTCTGTGTTTAAGGATATTGATTGTTTTTAGTAGTTCAAACAATCACCAGTTTTATGAGCTTTGTTGTCACTGTCAGTCTGGTTATCCGCCTCTTCTATCTCTTGGATGAGGATTTTTTTGCCCTTGCGTTGCTTCTCTTGTTGGCATTCCTCCATCTTCTTCTCAATTTGAGACAAAAGTTGCTAAAACACAAACAATTCATCCATTAGAACATCTCATGTTTTGTTTGTCACAACTATTCATATCACAATCTATGCTAGATTACTTAGTTGTAGTGACTGGTGTATGTATAACTACAAAAAGGAACATTTTCTTCCCATTTACACCTAAATTATACTCAAATAAATAGAAACAGAAGTTAAACAATGCAATTAAAGGGGACGGGTAAACACAGCACATCCTGAGCTGTTCCACTGATACAGATCTGTTAAAAAAGCCACATCATCCTCTATTTATGGTAATGACATAAATACATGAAAGACTTCCAGTGATAGACTCACTAAATCACTCAACTTTCACAAATACAGTGACACCTAGTGGATGAAAGGTAGACTGGCGCATGATGAACATGCCTCAGTACCATCACCTACAGTTGCAGTGGTGTTCTGTGGCTCTTCCCTGAGCACCGTCCTCAGGTCTTCAGTGGCCATGTGGAAGTTGCCCATATGATTATAAACAACAGCACGACGAAGCAGGGCTAACGGAAAGAAGTGCATTACAATATGTAGCACATACACTAATGCTGCTGTAGCTAAAGTATACCACATCATATAAATACATCTAAAAGTGCAGGTGTATTTATTCTGGAAGCATTATTGTGTTAGAAATTATAGAAATAACATTAACACACCTTTCAGATTGCCCGGTTCTAGCTCGAGCACACTCAGGCAGTCTTTCAGGGCATTGTGCCAGTGCTCGAGCTTGATCTCTGCCTGGGCTCTGTTGTTGTATGCAGCCACAGTTGTTATAATGGAAAGGCTCCTGTAATGGAATAAACAATAAAGCAAACCTCTATTTACAGTGAGATTATTGCACAAACACTTACTACTACAGCTACAATGAAAGATGACAGTCTACTACTTACAATATATACCAAGCAAAATGATAAAAAGCCCTTTAAGAGGTGCTAAGTGCTTTCTGCAATGAAGGAGTTGTTTAAAGAACCTGACCTGGAATAGTATGTGACCGCCTCCTCATAATCCTTTGCTCTAAAAGCTTCATTGCCTTTGTCCTTTTCACGATTTGCCAGGAAGAGCTTCTCCTGTTGTGACAGCACTGGATGGATCACAGGGGAAACCTTACATGTTACACAAAAATGCCAACACACCTGATGTACGTTGTATGCTTAATAATTACTGCAAAAGAACACTTTCTATCCACAATAGATTACATGAAGTGTCCACTTGAGTCTTGATTTTAGGATGTCCTGAGTTTATAATTGCAGGTGGATCAGTTTTGTCCACATCCTCCTCTATTTTCTCACATTCTTTTTCCACATCGAACCTGGAAAGAAGGTGTAAAATATACACTTAAAGGTCAAGTTTTTAAACTGTGGATCACTGTAATGGAAGCAGTTTAGCTTTAAAGCCCTTTTACAAAGTAAAAAGACTTGGGAAGCTTTTATGCACAGAGAATTCAGCTGCTGCAACAGTGGGGTCTTTCTTCTGAATATAATAGACAAATGTGGAGACAGCATGACTCACTTGTCCCATTCTCGGTAATCACGTGGTAGGGCGCATTTCGAGGGTTTCTTTCTTTCTTGTGGAACTGTTTTCTATCATGAGAAAAAACTCTGTTTGAATATTTGTCTTCTATACATATATGTAACTGGTTATGTACTGTATATGCCTTGATTTTTTTTACCTGGCTCAGAGGAACAAAGCAATTGGAACCTCTTACAGGTGGCATATTTTCTTTCACTGGATCATCAAATACTGACTGGTGTTTCAGGGTTGTTTCAGTCTTTTTGGTTTCTTCTTGCCATCTCTGAGCAAAGTATTTAGAGAAACAGCCATGTGAGAACAAAGTAAACAGGATTTATTTATTTTTTTAAAAGAAAGAAAAAAATGTGTACCATACTTTCAATTCATCCTCAATTTGGCTCCACTCATCTTTAGAGAGGCTGGCTGCTGTGGCTACAGGCATTTCCTTCCTAAGAGCTCGGCTCTTAGGGTCCAGTTTCTCCAGGTGACTCTCACAGAACTTGATCAGGTGAGGATAAATGCCCTCTTCGCCGGACCTTTAACCAAACAAAAAAGAAAAATAAAGAATAGCTTTTTTTGCAATATTTTTCATTCACATTTGCCAGCCTGTATTTTGTTATGACATGCACTATTATCCCTCTGCAACTGATGACAAGTGTTATGTAATCTATTTGCAATATAGCACATACCATCTCAGTGGAGAGTGAGTGAAACTTGACATGATGATGAGTTTATAACCTTCATAAAGAAAAACCTCACCAACACTATAAAGGGACTGGACTGACTGATTGCTTTATTTTGAGCATGTAAATATAAATACGATTTTTACAGGTAAAGGAAGAAAAGGGACAGTGAGTTTCCTCCAACAACACTATATCACTCAACAGACAGTTACCTCAGTGTTCTCAGGATCTTCTCGAGGTATCTCACATCTTTACATTTTTCAATGTAATCGTAGTCCAGGTGCTCCACAGGAACCTTGCCCCTGTAGTCCACAGTGGTGGAGTGACTCTGAAGGGATAAAACTGCGTCTTCACTCATTTCTGGAAAGAATTTAGTCAACGTGTCAAAAAGTGTTCCATAAAAGGTAGACATGGCAGTTCTGCATTATATTTGTATAACTTACCAGCTTTTTAGCTAGCTACCTTAACTTTACTGCTAATTTTAATAGTTCGTCAGAAACAGCTAGGTTCTATAATTAGGGATGTAACATTCGGGAAAGGCAGACTCATCTCTTAAGTGTCTCTTGAGTAATTAATGCAAGATCACATTAATGTTAATAATGTTAAGCAAAACTAGTTTACCTGCTCCCGTTTGGCTGAACGCTCATCGACAATGTGGTGTGTATTGCTATGGTAACCACACACGGACGGAAGGCCGGTAGCGCCGAGAGGAAGCACGTGACACAGCCAACAGAGGGCTCCAAATTTGAAAACGTGGCTGGTGAACATGAGAAAACAGGAACAACAGCGGGGGGACAGCTGAGGCCTGGAACAAAGCCCGAGGAAACAACATCGCCTACAGAGGCCACGGCTTTTTGGAATAGCCCCGTTTTAACTTCAGGTAGGTATTTGTTAAATATTAAGCGCGTTTATTCCCGAAGAAGATTATTTTGTCGAGCTTAAGGTACAGGTGCGTGGAATTCACCGACATTACCTCGTACTGGTTCTAGTTTCAGGAGGCTAACAACGTTATGTTAGTAAACGTGGATGGCAGACAAAAATGTCAGCCACATTTTTTTTCTTTAATTATAACTCGGTGTTTGACAGGTGTTTTACGAGGCCCACAGTTTTTTGGGGTTTTTTTTGTGTTTGTTTTTTAATGGCAATCATTTTTGCATGGCATTTCAGGGTTAACACAGGTGTAACTGATTAGTCATTCACTGTGCCATTCCGGGTCCCCTTCAGTCACATTAACAGGAGGCTATTTCAGCTTTGACGGAGCATCACTGCTTTTAATTCTGGAACCGGTTTTTATCCTGTCATGTCTTGTTAAAATGGCTGCTCTGACCCTCTGAACTAGCATAGAGGGTGAAATTACACTGTAAAATGCGCACGCACGAAACGTCGTCGGGTTTTTGTTTTGTTTTGCTTTTGGGTGAATTTTACTAATATCAGTTTTGCGTGTGTTTACCAAATAATTTTACCTTGTCATATTTCTTCAGACGGAATTAAGTGTGAAAATAACGAGGAGTAAAATGATGTTAAAGGTGGTGTATACTGTCAGTCGGGCTCTGTCGGTGTCTTTTGGCGGTTATGGAGCTCTTTAAAGCGGCATCAGAGAGGGCACGAGACGGGGGGATTTAAATCGGCAGCAGCACGCGCTCTCATAGCAACGCGGATGAAACAGCTGAGAAGGATCAGAGATAAATCAGCTGTCTGTTGCTTTCTGATATACAAACTGCTACTTTTATACACTGAAAACCACCTTAAGATTCGGGAGATAACTTTTATTTTACTATAAGTGAGTCCAGCATGAGACGCCTTTTAAAAATATAGTTTTTAAAAGTATTTAAGATAGCGTTGTATGTGTTTACGGTCTCTTTAAGTTCATATTTGCTGTGCTGAAGTAGTTCTGTTTATTATATTCTGTTTCACTCCAGGTAATCCCCTGGAGGCCAGGCTAAGGTTTGTTGGCGCACTCAGGAGGAAGATGCAGTGCACTCCTGAATCTAGTCTTTATCTTGATGGCTATAAAGGGCAGCACTGCTACGATGACTGCTCTGACAGTGGATACTCAGGTTTTTTCCAGAGCCCACACAGCACCAGTGGAGCTGATTCATGTAGATCTTTGTCTCCGGTGGAACTGGATGAAACGCCCAAAGAGAACCTCCGGGTTTCTGTCACGCCAAAGAAGATCCGAGAACAAGTCAGATTTTTGGGCAGAGACTCCAGGAAGGTTTCAGCTGTAAGCTGGTGTGAAACTCCTAAAATATGCAAAAGGGATACCTCGCTGCGACAGAGACTTCTACTGTGTAAACCCACTGTAGATGTCAAAAATGACAACACAAGATCACCGTGCACCAGAAGGATTGAATCCCCTGTCAGTGGGTCTGAACCCTATTTGAATACATCATTTGACTCTGTAGACACTGAGATGGGGGCATTGGACCAGGACCTGCCACTATCAGGCAGGAAGCGCCGTGTTCTGTTCACACAGGTGAGGACCTCAACTCTTGAAGATGGCAAGCACAACTGTTGTCGCCTTCCCAGTTTTGAGAAAGAAGCCTCACTCACAGATCTAGACATGAGTGAACACATTTTTGCATCTGGTCAATGTAATGTCAAGACTCCAGGCTTCAACGAATTCCTGTCCATCTCTAAAGAAAACTCTCAGTCACCACTGGGCAGCATGACAGATAATCTATATAATGGCTCAAGTGTCTTGTGCACACCATCCTCTGCACATACACCCAGCTATATCAGGTATGTGTTTTATTGACGAAGAAAATAAAACTTTAAAATATTTAAACACGGATTAACTCCTTTCTGACTTTTAAACAGGTCGTTGAGTGAGGACAGCGGTTTCAGCTCAGTGACTCTTGATAAATCGCAAGACTCCACAGTGGACCATGATGGCTCGTTCCAGGAGCTGCTGCTGTCTGCCTCCAAAGGAAACTCTGAAACTCCAAATCCAACAGAGGGAAGGCGCCGCTCCCGTTTGCAGCGTCAGCACAGGCTCTCTACGCTTAAAGAAGGTGGCTCTCAGTCTGAGGAAGACCCAACGGACAGAAAGCATCAACATCCTTATCAATGTTACAGCCATTCTAAAGAGGATGAGGTTTTTGCTGGGGATATCACCCCTCGCAGTGTCCTCTCTGTTAAATGTGGTAATGCCGTGAGCTCTGATCACTTGGGCTCAGCAAAAAAAGATTATACCACCCCACAAAGAGTGACTAAAACCAAGGCACAAGACATGACCCCTTGTTCTACAGATTTTGGCAATCCAGATATCACACCACTCAGGATGACTCCAGTTAACCTCTCTCTGACTCCAGCGCTGCAGCTGGTTCAAGCTATGTGTCAGCACCATGCCCAGATGTTGGCTGGTCAAAGTCCAAGCCTGAAAGAGCAGCTGAAGTCTGCAGCAGCACTGACCAAGACCCCAAGCACTCTTCGGACCACTATGCCATTGGCAGGGCTGATTGGCAGGAAGATGGGCCTGGAGAAGGTGGACATACTCACAGAGCTGATGAAGAGGAACCTCAGGCACATCCTGGCTGTTATACTTTGCCAGATGGACTCTGAGAGTGTCTATAGGTGATGTTTCCAAATATACATTTTTATTCACACAATGTTTTACAGCGCATATCATCCATGCTTACTTGCCACAGGTTGCAGCTCCTTTCCCATTTGGTCACTGATTAATAAAATCATGACTACATTTTTAATGGAGTAAAGAATAATTCAGAGTCCTGTAGAATGATCGCAAGGTGATTGACGCTGAGCTGAAACATACATGTCGTTATAACAGTGTTTATGTTGTATAAACGATGCAATTATTAGTAAAATCAGTGGAGTTTAGCTTGCATTACAAACTTGTGTTGTCTAAAAAGTTTAGTGAGCTGAAAATATTTCTCTCATACTTTTTTGTTTTTCACAGGTGCAGCTGTGTTTGCAAAAGCTGGAATCAAATTCTCCAGCAAGACAAGCTAGCTAGCACAATGAGAAGAAGCCACCTGAGTCAAGTGGAGGCTGCTCTTGAGGTAAGAGCCAGGCTATGGCTAAAGGTCTTATAAGCAGGGGTGCACATAAGTGGTCTGCAGGTGTGCATTTGCTGTCAAAATAAAAGACGTGCACCAGATAAGAAGTTGCAACGCGCGTTTGTGTACATAAGATTTTCTGGAGGAGGACAAACATTTGTTTAGAACTCTTAAAAATGTTGAAGAAGCAAACTCCTTTAAGAAATTACTTTGGTGTTCCTCCACCTCCAAAGAAATGTCAGGAGTCCGAACAGCAAAAGAAGCGCATATTCTCCGAAAAGTGGTTGCAGGAGGTGAGCTGGCTTCAAACAAATGATGAACGCACAGAGATGTGGTGCAGAATATGCCATGAAAATCCCACTCTAGCGGACAAAAACTGTGCCTTTTTATATGTATGCAAACACCCATTTCAGCCTCTTATCTTATTCGCTTCCTATTTTGACAGCGAATGCGCACCTGCGGACCACTTATGTGCACCCCTGCTTATAAGAGTGTTTGTTCAGCTCTGTAGCATTTAGCTTTCTGTGTTTTCAGTTAAACACAACATCTCTGTTATCACAGTCTTTGCTCTGTGGTCATCAGTGCATACGTGCATCAAAATGAGTCGGCGTTATCACAATCTCCATCACTGTCACTGAAATGACTCTGAACTTATTTGCTGTTGTCTTATAGCTTGGTGCTGCTGTCCATGTCGCTGATGCAGAGACCAGAGCCATGTTGCTTAAGCGATCAGCTCTGAAGACAGTTCAGGCCCAGTCTAGGACCTCCAGCTACTGCACTCCACAGTCAGGAAGCAGGGCTTTAACGCCACTGCAGCTCAGCGCCTTGCATTCAGACAGCAGCAGCAAACGGGATAAATTTCTGGAGGTAAGTTACAAATCCATTAAACTGCATTTTCTTGAACATGGTGCAGTCATGCTTTGAGGCATTTCTCATCAAACATTTATCAAAGTTATTTTAATAACTTCTTTTTCCTCTCAGGTTGCTAAAACCCTCTTCAATGATGAGTGCCTCAAGCCTTGTCCGAGATGTCAGCATCCCGCAAGATGCCATTCAGGAAAAAGAGAGGGAGTGTGCAGCAGAGCTGACTGTGGATTCCAGTTTTGCATGTCATGCTTGTGTACTTCTCACGGCTCTAGAGAGTGCGGTAGTCACTCTGCAGGCCGTCGCAGAAAGGACATACTTCCCGGAAGCGCTCAAAGCAAGCGCAATGTTAAAAGACTATGAACAAATTATTCCTGCTTCATGAAGTCACTTTAATATTATCTATTTTTTGCAAGTTTATAGATGGCAATAAGCAGCGAGGAAACAGATGTGTAGTACGTGCGGTGTCTGTACTCTTCAATGTTTGTTTGTATTTCTTTACTTATCCCATCCTACCCCTTTCCTTTTTTGATATAGTTCTTACTTGTATATTTTTTTTAAATTATGCACTGAAGGAGGTTTTACCAGCAGATAAAAGGATTTCATTTTACTGTTGTATTTTTCTATGCACTGACTGTACAGCATGTTGGGTTTTTGTTTTGGAGCTATTGAGATTTTCAGCTTTTACAAACATGTTTTCTAGATCGGTTTTAAAATAAACTTGATATATAGTAAAAAAAAAAAAATTTCTTTTCTTCCCCTACCCGTGTGCTGCGTCACATTTGTGAGGATTGTGTATGTCGCTGTAACCTGTACAAATCAGTCTTTGGTGCCACCTAGTGGTTTGACACTTTCACTGCGAAAGAAAAAAAAAAAATTTATATATATATACATATCTTAGATACTTAGAACTTTAAAGTAATCTCTGAGTTATCGAATAAATCGATCCTGGGGTATTAAAGAAGAAACTCTAAATTGCATTAATTTCTCTGGTCCTGTCTGGTTAAACTTTTACTGCCCCCCCGTGTTTTGAAAATGCGTCCACTTCCATAGCAACCTGGACTCGCAGTGATTGAGTTTGACTTTCTGAGTAAGCCCGTCTGAAAGTACTGTCTGCCATTTTTATTTTTAAGGAAAAGCATGTGTGGATTCATTTCAACAGGTAAGAGCAGCGCTTTAAACACATCTCAGTTTACTCATGTTTTTACAACTAGCGTGTTGGAAATTTGAGTTTTTCTTTCTCTTTGCAAGAGTTTCTCCGCCTTACTGTGGACAGTTTTGTGAGTAAAAGTTTAGATTCCTCATATTTTCCCCAGTCTGTTACAGCTCGGACAGAATGTTTGTTTTTTAAGCGTTTTAATGTTGATCTTCACACAGGAGAGCTCTCTGGCCTCTGATGATGTACTGGCTCACTTCTTCAATGATTTCCTAAGTGCGCCGGTAATGTAGGCCTGACATAGATATGCAGAACTTTGACATGGCTCAAAGCAGTTTTTCTTACCTTCGCATGTTTTTGCCAGTCTTTCCCAGAGGCTTTGCGGTACAACCGGGAGACGGGGCTGTTTGAGATGGCGAGTAGAGCGGCAGAGTTTGTCTCCACAAGAATCCGATCAGCCCTTTACAACAGAAAATCACAGCTTCTTGCTGTTGACCCGTCACTGCTCACCAAAATGTCCCCAATAGACAATCATTACGCTGTCTGTGTAAGTAGCTGCTAGCAAAATGTTTGTGTTTGTATGGAGGGGTAGAAATCTCTATACTGGATTGAAGAACTTGTCCCTGACATTCACAGTGCCTGGACAGAGAGCGAGGAATGCAGTGGATCAAAAAGGAAAGATTCCCCTTTTTCCTTCAAAGTGATTGTTATCATGAATACAGGTAAAGTGTTAAATCCTGTTGAAACAAATGTTTTAATCATTTGTTTTGCAGGCAAGTTTCATCTCATTTTTACCTACATTTTCTCTTTACCTATGAAATGTGATTTCTTTGCAGTATCCAGACAGTGTGCTACGATGCCTTAATGCTGACTTTGCTGTCTCCTTATTTTATGATGAACAAGTAAAGTCTGGGTCTCTTTTTAGTTTAGTTTGCAAGTGTTTTAACTTTTAAAAGAAGTATCGATTTAAGATTGCTACTTTCAGATCTGAGACTAATCTCTTCTCTGTCTTTTAAGAAGCCTAAAGGCTTCAAGAATCTCTGCAGAGAGAGCCATGCTAACTTATAGGCTGCACATAGAAGCAGCAATACAACAGCAGCCATTTACAGGCCATTCTTTTGAATCTTTTGTCGTGTCTCTCTGCCTCACCAGCTGTGCCTACCTCAGAGGTTTCCACCTGTTATAAGGGAGTTTTTCCTTTCTACTGCTGCCAAGCACTTTCTCATCGGGGGTTGTCTGATAGTGGGGTTTTCTCTGTATTATTGTATGGTCTTTTTCTTACAATAAAAAGGGCCTTGAGACAACTGATATTGTATTTAAATAAAACTGAATTCCACTGAATTAAAAAAAGAATTTTTTTAAGAAATCTTGCTTGTGTATTTTCCAACTGGCAGTGCCTCCTCTCTCTGTGATTTTCCCCAGACTAGCCAAGCTTCTGCTTCAGTGGGACCCAAACTTGTGTATTCACAGAAGGAAAAGCAGTTCAGTTCGGACCACCCTGTCAGCCCCTCAACTGCGTTCCTTAAAATTAAACACGGGTAATACTAATGTAGTAAATGTCTTGTGCAGCAAAACAAAATGTGTATGTATCCTGTGAGTATAAAAATAAGAACTGTGTGTCCCATGTTTTTATTTCCTCACATCTCAGGGTTTATGAGCACACGCAATCTTACATGTCTAACATCTCTGCAAAAGGAACAACTTATTCCAAAAAGCAGTGACTCAACCAGATGTTACTCCAGCTGGTCTGAGCCAGAAAGCCTGTGTTCCTTTCCCCCTTTGTCCTCATCAGGTTTCTCCTCTGCTCACCTTCAAAGTGGGAAACCTCAGGAACTTAAGAGCTCACAAACAGAGCTGGGTGTCTGCTCTGGGCTATCATCTGTTAGTAAAGAGAAACACCTAAAAGAGATCAGTAGCCTGGCATCTCATTCTCCCGAACAACACTTGGAGTACCTGGCTGTCCAAGTGACTGAACAGGTGCTTAAAGACACAATGAATGTAACGGATGGTCCGAACCAGGCAGACACTTGGGAGTGCTTCAGCAAGTCAGGAGATCAGGCAAACTGTAGCAGCACAGACAGATCCTGTAAATGTGACCTTAACCGACATCTCAACAGAGGAAGACTGGAGGGGGAGAAAGAGAGAAGTCAACGTGGCAAGAGGGGGTGTGGATGGGATAAGAAGGATCAGGAAGAGGGGAGCAGAGCCACAAACCAGGAAGATGTCCCTTATACTTGTTGCAATGATACAGGTTTCTATGGAAGCTTGGATAAGTTTAGGGAGTTTTTACAAGGAACGTCAGGAGAGAAGCTCCTTAATCTCTGGATGGATATAGAGAGACTGAAGGCTGCACGGGACAAAGAGCGGAAGCACAGGTAAACACACCTGTCTTATTCTGCAGCTCCAAAAGTTCTAAATATTCAAGCAGAATTTATTGTCTTTTGTTAAGTGAAATAAATTTTCAATGTGGTATTGTTTCAGGTATTTGGTTCTCATGAGAAGCTGCTACCTGCTGAGCAGCAGTCAGTTCAGTCTGAATGCGGAGCTGCTCTCCAGACTGGGACTGACTACCTCCCCCTGCTGGACAGAGGACAAACTGCGCTCAGTTCAGACCTGCCTCACCGAGCCTCTGCTCCACTACTGGTGAGATTTGCAGTGTTTATCTTCTAAATGTCAGTGACTGTGTCTAGAATGCATCCATAAAAATGACCTTTACATTTACTCCTGTATTACATTTATTATTTTGTTGTCTTGTATAATTGTTGATTGTGTTCTGTATAAACTGGGTTTTCATAAGTTATAATTTTGCATGTGTCTAAATCTTCTAATGAAATTATGCCCCCTCTCTTTTCTGCAGGGTTCCTCGGTTCTGGATATCTCTGTGCCATCAGGAAGACCATAGTAACTCCTCTGATGTGGAGCTGAGGACAGGGTGGTGTTACAGCTCTTCTTTGGGCTCACAGCCTCGCTGTTGCTCAACGTTCTTACGAACTGACAGCAGCTCGCCCCAGTCTTCCCATACTGTCCGTACACAGGTAGGTGTATTGAGATATATGTTACTATGTGCTTATAAGCTTTATGGCAGGAAATCAAGCCCACAAAAGCATCATGAATAAACAACCCAGAGTTTTTATCAGTCAGCAGTAAAAAAGGATTAAAAGATAGATTTTAGTGAAATAAATATGAACATGAGAGTATGGGCCAGCTCTTGTTTATACTTGTATAAATTGTTCAACTTGGTAGTTTCTCCCTCTAGTCATCCATGCTCCTCCTGCATGCACTCTACACCCTGCTGGGGTCCTCTCCCACTGCCATCTCCTGATTTGTGAACCACTGCAGGAAGTGATTTATCAAACCTCTTTTCCAGTCTAAAAACGTACAAAACAGAGACAAACGAGAAAACTATTCAAGCTGTGTCTTTGCACGCTAAGGATTCACCTGTTTTGATAGATTTTTGTAGTGACTAAACAATGTACTGTGGGGAAATAATTTTAAAGCCAAAACAAATGAAAATCAACTAGTTTTCACTCCAGCTTTACCTAGTTATTTTATATAAACGCTATATTGCATTTAAAGTTTTTGTATTGTATTTCATCAGGTGATGTCCAGCAGAAGTCAACTACAGTGCAGCACAATGATGGAAAAGATGCTGCAGGCTCTTTGTGCTGAGTCTCGTGCTGGCTCATACTTCACACACTTCTGCGAACAATCTGGAAACCAGGTACAAACAGCTGCAGATGTTAACGAACGGTTTTAGAGGCAGAAAAAAAAGAAGCTCGAGGTAATTTAAAAGTGGTGCCAAAGAGTTTCTTCAGCTGAGCAGCTAAGACTATTGTTTGCAGTTCTCCACAGTGCTGTGCTGCTGTAGATGATGGCAGGTTGCTTTGTGCTTTGTGCTTTTTGTTTGTGAAATGCATTGCTGTCATTCTCCTTCATACAATTATGTGTAGCTTATGTTTTACCCTGTGCCACATAGATTAAGAATCTGGGCTCATGTATGGAAACTGTTTCTTTTTAAAGCTTGACCCAACCACTAACTTTCTAACCGTTATAAATTCACATTAATGGATTGAAGTACATGTAAATATAAGTCAGCTGACAGGGTTTTTGATGTGTTCAACACTGTTTTCC